TCCCGCACAATCCCGCTTCCGCTGACTCCCACGCTGCCCGACCGCCTCCGCTGACTCCCGCACGCTTCCCGCCGCCTCCCATGACTCCCGCACAATCCCAGCTTCCACCTCCCATGACTCCCGCACAATCCCGCCTCCCATGACTCCCGCACAATCCCGCCTCCCATGACTCCCGCACAATCCCGCCTCCCATGACTCCCGCACAATCCCGCCTCCCATGACTCCCGCACAATCCCGCCTCCCATGACTCCCGCACAATCCCGCCTCCCATGACTCCCGCACAATCCCGCCTCCCATGACTCCCGCACAATCCCTCTGATGAATTCCGCACAAGTCCCGCCTGCCATGACTCCCGCACAGTCCCGCCTCCCCGCCTCCTGTCGCTCCTCCTGTGTGTGTGTGCAGTTAGTGGTGGAGCGCAGGACTCCAACCTCTGGGAATGGATCAGATGGTTCACATGTGACATCGATTTTAACTGGTAAAGTCAGTAGATGTAGAGTCAATGGATGGGCGCGCCAAACCAAAGCGATCAGAACTTATATTTTTATTTATGAAGAATCGATGAGAATTTGATATTTAACGCGTTTCGGAGGTTACAGTCCCCTTCCTCAGGGCTGAAGTGTATTCTGCAGGAAGAATCTGGATAGGTTTCTTTTCTTCGTCGTACACGTTGGTGAAAGACTCGTTCAGCTTGGTTGTCTGGAAGCCGCCAATTCTGGCAGGAGTTGCATGTAACTGCCGAAACGCGTTGCTTGTCGACTTCAGATCAGCTGTTATTGTGACAAATACAAAATATCTTGCCCATTCCCTGTGGCTTAGCGCCCTCCTCCCTTCACTCTGCATGAGCGCTCAGTGCGCCCGTGTACGGCCATATCCTTCCCTCTGATGGGCCCCTTGAACATGCTGGCAGAAGCCGGGCCAAGCTGGCCAGCCATGGATGCACATGGACGCCTTGAACGCCCGTCTTCAGTGACCCTCCGTTCCGTGTTGGTGTCTGAGGGCTGCGGAAGTAAGTGGAGAGAAGACTGAAAGGAGGATGGAAGATGATTTAGGGAAGGAATAAAACCAGCACAGCGTGCCAGCAGTCTGATTAGACGCGATCCTCTAGGAATGTCCAGCGTGCTGGGAATTATTCGTCATTCCAGTCATTCAGTGTATGTGAGGAATTGTGTGGATCCCGGCGTTCAGAACGCACAGCTGCCTTTAATCCATCAGCGCTCAGATCTCCTCCTCTGTCCACTCCGTTCCGGCAGGTTGAGCCGCAGATGATGAAAGGGTGCTAATTGCAGCAGAAGGATCCGTGTGAGTGGCGAATCTCGCCGTACGGGCGCAAGGCCTCTATAATGAGAGCACTCAGCTATGTAAGCGAGCCGCCGCTTCCTGCTACACGCCGCTTAATAATTAATAACCCCATCATTGGAGAGCCTCCATCACTGCGCACTGAGCCGGGGAGGGGGGAGTCCAATCAGGGCAAAACATGGCCGACCTCTCGCATTGTGTCCATGTATGCGCAATTGGTCCGACTTTCCCCGTCCTCTTCTCTTCTCACTCCCTCCATGTGCACGCTCGCCCTTTTTACTCTCTCTGTCTCTCCCTGAATGCTCTCCCTCTTTTATGCTTTTGCGTTCATTTTGCCTCTCCTTGTGTGCTCTCTCTTTGCGCATATGCTGTCTCTGACCTTGCTCTCTTTATCTCCTTGTGCACGCTCTGTTTCTATGCACACACATGCTCTGCCTCCCTTTGCACTATTTCTTTGCACTCACGCTATTTGTGCGCACTCGCTCGCTCCCTCGCCCCTCCTTGCTCTCTCCCCCTCCTTGCTCTCGCCCCCCCCTCGCTCTCCCCCTCCTCGCTCTCCCCGCCCCTCCTCCTCTCCTCGCCCCTCCTCGCCTCCCCCCCCCCCCCCTCCTCGCTCTCCCGCCCCTCCTCGCTCTCTCGCTCCTTCTCCCCCTCCTCTCGCTCTCTCCGCTCCTCCCCTCCTCGCTCGCTCCTCCCTCTCCCCTCCTCGCCGCTCCTCCTCTCCCCCCCTCCTCGCTCCCCCCCCTCTCGCTCTCCTCTCCCCTCCTCCTCCCCCTCTCCTCCTCCCCCCCCTCCTCCCCTCCCCCCGCTCTCCCCTCCCCTCCCCCTCCCCTCTCCCTCCTCCCTCGCTCCTCTCCCGCTCCCTCCCCCCTCCCCTCCTCCCCCTCCTCGCTCCCCTCCCCTCCTCCCTCGCTCTCCTCTCCCTCTCCCCCCTCCTCCCCCCTCGCTCTCCCCTCCCCTCCTCGCTCGCCTCTCGCTCTCTCTCATCCCTCCCCTCCCGCTCTCCCTCCGCTCCTCTCCCCCCTCCTCGCTCTCGCTCTCTCCCCTCCTCGCTCGCTCTCGCTCTCTCCCCTCCTCGCTCGCTCTCGCCCTCCCCCTCCCTCGCTCCCTCCCCTCCTCCCTCCTCCTCGCTCCCTCCTCGCTCCTCGCTCTCTCCCCCCCCCCCCCCTCTCCCCCCCTCTCTCTCTCCCCCCCCCTCTCTCTCCCCCCCCCTCTCTCCCCCCCCCTCTCTCCCCCCCCCCTCTCTCTCCCCCCCCTCTCCCCCCCCCCTCTCTCCCCCCCCCTCTCTCTCCCCCCCCCTCTCTCTCCCCCCCCCTCTCTCCCCCCCCCCTCTCTCTCCCCCCCTCTCCCCCCCTCTCTCTCTCCTCTCCTCTCTCCACTCTCTCTCTCTCCCCTCCCCCTCTCCCCTTGCTCTCTCTCCCCCTCCCCCTCTCTCCCCCCCCCTCTCTCTCCCCCCCTCTCCCCTCCCCCCCCTCTCTCCCCCCCCTCTCTCCCCCCCCTCTCCCCCCCCCTCTCTCCCCCCCCCTCTCTCCCTCTCTCCTCCCCCCCCCCCTCTCCCCCCCCTCTCTCCCCCCCCCTCTCTCTCTCCCCCCTCTCCTCTCCCTCTCCCCTCTTCTTCTCTCCTCTCTCTCTCTCTCTCCCTCCCCCCTCTTGCTCTCCTCTCTCTCTCTCCCGCCCCCCTCTCCCGCCCTCTTGCTCTCCTCTCTCTTTCTTCCTCTCCTCCCCCTCTCTCCTCCTCTCTCTCCCCCTCTCCCCTCCCGCCCCCTTGCTCTCCTCTCTCTCCCCTCTCCCCTCCCCCCCCCTCCTCTCTCTCCTCCTCTCCTTTCTTCCCTCTCCCCCCTCCCCGCCCTCTTGCTCTCCTCTCTCCCCCTCTCCCGCTCCCCTCCTCTCTCCCTCTCTCCCCGCCCCTTGCCCCCCCTCTCTCCTTTCTTCCTCTCTCCCCTCCCCCCTCGCTCTCCCTCTCTCTCTCTCCCCTCCCCCGCCCCCTCGCTCTCTCTCTCTCCCCTCCCCTCTCCCGCCCCCCCTCTCTCCTTTCTTCCTCTCTCCCTTTCTCTCTCCTTCTCTCTCTCCCCTCTCCCACCCTCTTGCTCTCCTCTCCTTTCCCGCCCCCTCGCTCTCCCTCTCTCTCTCCTTTCTTCCTCTCTCCCTCTCTCTCTCTCCTTCTCTCCCGCCCTCTCTTGCCCCCCCCGCCTCACTCTCCTTTGATCTGAAGAATTCCAATAGGAAAGGTTACAAGTCGGCTGGTTTTGGTTGGCTCCCTGGGTTGCATTGTGTGCAGTAGCTGGTTTCTGCAGATTTTGTGTTGCAGGGAAGGATTCTTCTTGTTTGTTTCCCATTGACCTGAAATTTGTCCGTCCAGGAATAGACAGCTCACATGTTGTTCTTAGTGGCCCTTCTGGGTGTCATATATTTCCATCGGGCCCCGGATGTGGCTGCAGAGCCCGGCTGTCATCTGATGGCGGCGGCCGGACAATGCCTCCTGATTGTGTGTCAGCTGCTACAATGGATGGAGAGGCCTTTGTATTGCGGAGTCAGGGCCAGCAGATGGCTAATTGGTTGTGATAATCCACTGGGACCAGTTCAGTGGATAAAGGATCCGGCGGGATTACCGCCCCCCCCCCCCCCCCCCCCCCAGTCAGGAGGAAGTCTGTCAGGGGCTCCATCGCTCTTCCTGCCCCCACATCTGGTGGCTATAAAGACACGGAGCCGGTGTCGGAGGGTAATAGGAGGCCATTAGATGGACAAATCAAATTGAAAGGATGAGGAGAGGTGTGAGGCCTCAGGCAGGAGGTGATAATGGGCTGCGATATCGCCATCAGCGGAGGGAGCGCAGTCCGCCGCTATTGGCTCATTAATGGCGTCCTTGCCTTTTATAAAGAGCTAATTGGTTTGTTTCTGTCCTCAGATGTAGAGAATTGCGCAGTCAGGTCCACGTTACGGCAGAGACCTCCGAGCCTATTCCGGAGCCATCAGATTGAACTGAATGGCTCCTGAATTCTGAATCCACCCGGAAGAAGTCAGACCGCCATCGAAGGATCGATTTATGTTCAGATTGAAATTGCCAATTAAGGAGGAACCAAGGAAGTGACTGCAGCCAGTATAGAACATCTATACAGACCCCCACCTCCGGGGGCGCAGTGGGGGCTTTCAGGGGAGGTCCTGGTTGATTGCTGTCAGCGTTGGTGCCGGTTCTGTGCTGCGTTTTTTCTTTTCTCAAATTTGATAGGTTCCGCCTCCATTTGAAGTTTGTCTGTCCTGTCCTCGTTCGTTCGCCCCACTCAAAAGGTCCTAATGGCCAGATTCCAGTTCAGAGATCCAAATATGTCCTACATCACCGGTCCCGGGGGGGCCAAAACCAATCTGACCCCCCACACCCCGCAATCTGTACTGCCCCAGACTGAGGCCTGTAGAGCCTTTCCATAGAGTTGGGTACAAAATGAGAAAATCTGTCCATTGTGTCCTCCTCTCTAGTGAGGTTCTGTCTCCAGAATTCTCATTTTCAGGGTTCCCGCCTGATCTTGGGGCTTTCTTGTCCTCTTTGATCTTCACCACAATGTGCTCATTATACACCAATACAGGTACCATCATATTAATTCCCCCCTCCCCCACTTCAGTCTTATATCCTCCCTCTGGCCTCCCCTTCAGGTGTTCTGACTCCTCCCCTTCAGTCTTATATCCTCCCTTGGCCTGGGCCTCCCCTTCAGGTTGTACCGGCTCCTCCCCTTCAGTCTTGCACAGGTGTGCCTTCCCCTCCCCTTCAGTCTTGCACAGGTGTACCGGCTCCGCCCCTTCAGCCTTGCACAGGTGTGTTGGCTCCTCCCCTTCTGCCTTGCACAGGTGTGTTGGCCCCTCCCTTCTGCCTTGCGCAGGTGTGCCGGCCCCTCCCTTCTGCCTTGCGCAGGTGTGCCGGCCCCTCCCTTCTGCCTTGCGCAGGTGTGCCGGCCCCTCCCTTCTGCCTTGCGCAGGTGTGCCGGCCCCTCCCTTCTGCCTTGCGCAGGTGTGCCGGCCCCTCCCTTCTGCCTTGCGCAGGGTGTGCCGGGCCCCTCCCTTCTGCCTTGCGCAGGGTGTGCCGGCCCCTCCCTTCTGCCTTGCGCAGGTGTGCCGGCCCCTCCCCTGCCTTGCGCAGGTGTGCCGGCCCCTCCCTTCTGCCTTGCGCAGGTGTGCCGGCCCCTCCCTTCTGCCTTGCGCAGGTGTGCCGGCCCCTCCCTTCTGCCTTGCGCAGGTGTGCCGCCCCTCCCTTCTGCCTTGCGCAGGTGTGCCGGCCCCTCCCCTTCTGCCTTGCGCAGGTGTGCCGGCCCCTCCCTTTCTGCCTTGCGCAGGTGTGCCGGCCCCTCCCTTCTGCCTTGCGCAGGTGTGCCGGCCCCTCCCTTCTGCCTTGCGCAGGTGTTGCCGGCCCCTCCCTTCTGCCTTGCGCAGGTGTGCCGGCCCCTCCCTCTCTGCCTTGCGCAGGTGTGCCGGCCCCTCCCCTTCTGCCTTGCGCAGGTGTGCCGGCCCCTCCCCCTTCTGCCTTGCGCAGGTGTGCCGGCCCCGCCCCTTCAGTCTTGCGCAGGTGTATCGGCTCCTCCCCTTCTGCCTTGCACAGGTGTGTTGGCTCCTCCCCTTCTGCCTTGCACAGGTGTGCCGGCCCCTCCCCTTCTGCCTTGCACAGGTTTGCCGGCCCCATCCCCTTCTGCCTTGCGCAGGTGTGCCGGCCCCTCCCCTTCTGCCTTGCGGAGGTGTGCCGGCCCCTCCCATTCTGCCTTGCGCAGGTGTATCGGCTCTAATGTGCATTAGAAGCTGCAGCAAGACAGGTAAAACCCACCTCATTTCCTGACTGGAGGACGTCCAGCATCATCTATCGCTTTCCTCCCCAGCCTGACTTACCTGGCCCCACCCCTTTCATTCATTGGATTTCAGTTCCTTCAGCCATGGAAGCTCAGCCTCACCTGTGGGCGTTACCTATGTAAATACAGCCTGGCTAGGAACGCCCACTCCTCCAGACTGACACCCACCAATCAAGGCATTTAGTGGAAATCTCCCCAAGTGAAGGGAAAGCCCCTCCCCCTCAATTGTCCCCATTGGAAGAATTCCCCTCACCTCTTGTTCTGGGCACAACGCCAAAATTCTGGGTTTCCCCTCACTTGTTATCTTGGTGTCACCGGTACAGAGAGAGGTGGGAATGTCCCCTATGGGGACACAAACTTGTGAGGGGCCCGACCCTTCTCTGCCCCATCTATAATAGAAAAAAAAGGTTTTGCTAATGAAGTATTTAACAATAGGAGGAAATCTTCCAATCTGATTGTAATGTGTGTGGGATCTATCAGATGTCATGTGTGTGGGATCTATCAGATGTCATGTGTGTGGGATCTATCAGATGTCATGTGTGTTGGATCTATCAGATGTCATGTGTGTTGGATCTATCAGATGTCATGTGTGTGGATCTATCAGATGTCATGTGTGTGGGATCTATCAGATGTCATGTGTGTGGGATCTATCAGATGTCATGTGTGTTGGATCTATCAGATGTCATGTGTGTTGGATCTATCAGATGTCATGTGTGTTGGATCTATCAGATGTCATGTGTGTTGGATCTATCAATGTCATGTGTGTTGGATCTATCAGATGTCATGTGTGTGGGATCTATCAGATGTCATGTGTGTGGGATCTATCAGATGTACTGTGTGTGGGATCTATCAGATGTCATGTGTGTGGGATCTATCAGATGTCATGTGTGTGGGATCTATCAGATGTCATGTGTGTGGGATCTATCAGATGTCATGTGTGTGGGATCTATCAGATGTCATGTGTGTGGGATCTATCAGATGTCATGTGTGTGGGATCTATCATGTCATGTGTGGGATCTATCAGATGTCATGTGTGTGGGATCTATCAGATGTCATGTGTGTGGGATCTATCAGATGTCATGTGTGTGGGATCTATCAGATGTCATGTGTGTGGATCTATCAGATGTCATGTGTGTTGGATCTATCAGATGTCATGTGTGTGGGATCTATCAGATGTCATGTTGTGGGATCTATCAGATGTCATGTGTGTGTGGGATCTATCAGATGTCATGTGTGTGGGATCTATCAGATGTCATGTGTGTGGGATCTATCAGATGTCATGTGTGTGGGATCTATCAGATGTCATGTGTGTGGGATCTATCAGATGTCATGTGTGTGGGATCTATCAGATGTCATGTGTGTGGGATCTATCAGATGTCATGTGTGTGGGATCTATCAGATGTCATGTGTGTGGGATCTATCAGATGTCATGTGTGTGGGATCTATCAGATCTTTGGACCGTCAGGGGTGGTCATTGTACTAGAAACCATCTTTGGTCCTCAGAACAGACCAGCTTCGTGGATCCCGGGGCCCCGTCTGTGCTCGGTCCCCGCACCGTGTTACGTGTTTATGTGCTGGTTGCCGCTGAGCCCGGTGGGAATAGTAAAAGCCAACGATGGAGTCGTGTGAGATTGGTATTGATTTTTTCGGCCTCTCTATCCGGCCGTCCATCACACCACCAGAGGCTGTGGAGGATGTGTGCAGTGGAGCAGAGCACCTGCCTGGGGCCCGGCCAATGGGGGAGCAGCAAGCGACGTGATGGCTTCAGCAGGCGCTTTAAATACACAGAATGAGAGGGATGGGGGTCCCCGGACCGTCTGCAGGGACATGGAGAGGCTCGGGATTCTGTGGTTTCTGATTGTAAGCAAATAGCCGGTGTGGAGAAATAATGTTTCCAGAAGGATCTGTCCCACCAGAGCGATATGGTGCCCCACCAGCCGAAACATCCCCAACCAGTGGGGGTCAACTTCTGTAATACAGGGGGGCTCAGGTACTGCCCCTGACATCACCAAAGGGACCACGCAGGGTATTTAGTGGGGGCGTGCTTCAAGAGATGGTCAGAGATGGGGACATGCTGAAGGAGATGGTCAGAGATGGGGACATGCTGAAGGAGATGGTTGGAGATTAGGGACATGCTGAAAGAGATGGTTGGAGACTGGGGACATGCTGGAAGAGATGGTTGGAGACTGGGGACATGCTGGAAGAGATGGTTGGAGACTGGGGACATGCTGAAAGAGATGGTTGGAGACTGGGGACGTGCTGAAGGAGATGGTTGGAGACTGGGGACGTGCTGAAGGAGATGGTTGGAGACTGGGGACGTGCTGAAGGAGATGGTTGGAGACTGGGGACGTGCTGAAGGAGATGGTTGGAGACTGGGGACGTGCTGAAGGAGATGGTTGGAGACTGGGGACGTGCTGAAGGAGATGGTTGGAGACTGGGGACGTGCTGAAGGAGATGGTTGGAGACTGGGGACGTGCTGAAGGAGATGGTTGGAGACTGGGGACGTGCTGAAGGAGATGGTCGGAGACTGGGGACGTGCTGAAGGAGATGGTCAGAGACTGGGGACATGCTGAAGGAGATGGTCAGAGACTGGGTGCATGCTGAAGGAGATGGTTGGAGACTGGGGACATGCTGAAGGAGATTGTTGGAGATTAGGGACATGCTGAAGGAGATGGTTGGAGACTGGGGACATGCTGAGGGAGATGGTCGGAGACTGGGGACATGCTGAAGGAGATGGTTAGAGACTGGGGACATGCTGAAGGAGATGGTTGGAGACTGGGGACATGCTGAAGGAGATGGTTGGGAATTGGGGAAATGCTGAAGGAGATGGTCGGAGACTGGGGACGTGCTTCAGGAGATGGTCAGAGACTGGGGACGTGCTTCAGGAGATGGTCAGAGACTGGGGACGTGCTTCAGGAGATGGTCAGAGACTGGGGACGTGCTTCAGGAGATGGTCAGAGACTGGGGACGTGCTTCAGGAGATGGTCAGAGACTGGGGACGTGCTTCAGGAGATGGTCAGAGACTGGGGACGTGCTTCAGGAGATGGTCAGAGACTGGGGACGTGCTTCAGGAGATGGTCAGAGACTGGGGACGTGCTTCAGGAGATGGTCAGAGGATGGGGACGTGCCGAGGGAGATGGTCAGAGATGGGGACGTGCCGAGGGAGATGGTCAGAGATGGGGACGTGCCGAGGGAGATGGTCAGAGATGGGGACGTGCCGAGGGAGATGGTCAGAGGATGGGGACGTGCCGAGGGAGATGGTCAGAGATGGGGACGTGCCGAGGGAGATGGTCAGAGATGGGGACGTGCCGAGGGAGATGGTCAGAGGATGGGGACGTGCCGAGGGAGATGGTCAGAGATGGGGACGTGCCGAGGGAGATGGTCAGAGATGGGGACGTGCCGAGGGAGATGGTCAGAGATGGGGACGTGCCGAGGGAGATGGTCAGAACTACAAGTTCCAGCTGTGCTCAGGTGTGAACTCAGCCAACCGGTGAACATAAACATTCCAAGTATTCCTCCTGTACTGCGGTGCCGGCGTCTCCGAGGCTCGCAGATTTCATCGACACAATTAGCCATTATAATAGATTTTCCTGCGTCCGCCAAAGGCGGCAAAACTCTCTGCCGTTGCGTTGTCTGTCGGGATTCTTATTTGCTTTTTTATTATTGTTGATAAGTTGGTTCAGTAATTGTGTTATCGGTGCCACGCCTCCCCCTGAACGCGGCTTCGTTCAATAAACGTGGCGCTGCGGAGACCCCGACGGAAGCCACAGAAACCGATCTCCCATCAGATGGACAACCCAGCTCCAGAGTCCTCCCAACAATGACTGCACCGCTGATGGGCGGAGCAAGACCACACTGCCCAGTGCACCCCCATAATCTAAAGGACTTGGTCAGACTCCCCCCCCCCCCCCCCCCCCCCCCCCCCTGGTCAGACTCCCCCCTCCCCCCCCCCCCCCTGGTCAGACACACTCCCTTTAGACATCTGGACAGACAAGCCCCCTTCCTTACAGCAGGATGTGTAGACCCTTGTAATGAAGGTGTCACTCTCCCCCCCCCCCCCCATAATTCTGTAATGAAGGTGTCACTCTTTCCCCCCCCATAATTCTGTAATGGTGTCATTCTCTGCCTCCCCCCCATAATTCTGTAATGAAGGTGTCACTCTGTGCCCCCCCCATAATTCTGTAATGAAGGTGTCACTCTGTGCCTCCCCCTCCCCCCCATAATTCTGTAATGAAGGTGTCACCCTGTGGCCCCCCCCCCCCACATAATTCTGTAATGAAGGTGTCACTCTGTGCCTCCCCCCCATAATTCTGTAATGAAGGTGTCACTCTGTGCCCCCCCCATAATTCTGTAATGAAGGTGTCACTCTGTGCCTCCCCCCCATAATTTCTGTAATGAAGGTGTCACTCTGTGCCTCCCCCCATAATTCTGTAATGAAGGTGTCACTCTGCGCCCGCCCCTCCTCTATGGTTCTGTAATGAAGGTATCACACTGTGCTCCCCCCCCCCCCCCCTTCATTCTTATATGAAGGTGTCACTCTTCCCCCCCCCCCCCCCCCATAATTCTGCAATGGTGTCACTCTGCCCCCCCATAATTCTGTAATGGTGTCACTCTTCCCCCCCCCCCATAATTCTGTAATGAAGGTGTCACCCTGTGGCCCCCCCCCACATAATTCTGTAATGAAGGTGTCACTCTTCTCCCCCCCCCCCCCCATAATTCTGTAATGAAGGTGTCACTCTGTGCTCCCCCCATAATTCTGTAATGAAGGTGTCACTCTGTGCCTCCCCCCCCCCCCCCCCCCACATAATTCTGTAATGAAGGTGTCACTCTGTGCCTCCCCCTCATAATTCTGTAATGAAGGTGTCACACTCTGCCCTCCCCCATGATCTTGATATGAAGGTTTCTCTGCCCCCCCATGATCCTGATATGAAGGTGT